CGTTTAATATCCGCAGCGGAAGGTTAAGGTTTATGACGTAACTCTGGATTCTGTGTTTCAATTTAAATTTTTTTTTATATATCCCTATGCAAAACGAAGAATTACGTTTACGTTCCTATATAAGTGGAGCTGGTACACGTCAAATCGTTTTCAAGTAACGCAATAGCTAGGCATTGGCTAAAAGGGATGAAGATAGATAGTCGAAGAAAGGGGCGCGTCAACACAATTATTCAAAGTGTCAGCCAATTCCGTCGAAACGAACTTCTTCATACTCGATCTCGGTGGAGAGCATATCTCGACGAAAGACGATGATTTAAAGTTTAATTGCTCCTTCATTTATCTCAAACTTGCAGGCAACTGACAAAATCCCATAAATCTACACATCGCATGCACACGAACATTAATAAGGCCAAAAAGAATTTCACCCTTCCACTATTCGAGTTCCACTAACCTCCAAAAATAGCCTGCACACACACACACAATATGGGCGAGGTATAAAAATATAACAAATGTTAAAACGAAAAAGTACCCGCTATAAAATTTAAGAGAAATGATTGGAACCTCCGAAACACGATAAACCTTTTTACTGTCGCGGTCTAGTTGACAACCTTAATTACATAACGGTTGAAATTTACAACGCACTTCTTTCTAATTTCACACAAGCTTGAAATGGGTATTGCAGTCATTTCGATTTAGTAAACGGTTACCACTGAAACAGTTCAACTGAGAGCTCGCGTACCATCTTGCACAGAGTCACATTATGTTATTGTCACTTTCGTGTTCAACAGTTACAAAATTATAGTAAAAATATGTGGCACAATAAGTAACACAGGCTTTATTTCGCCATAACACTTTAACGATTAGATATAACCCCCGATTACTATACAACCCACAATTTCAGAACGACCTTTCAACGAAATTGCCAGATTTCAGTATTGAAAGAAACCCTCCAATTTACAGGCAGTTGCGTGCCAGCAGAAATAGAGTATAAGAGTACCTACAATTTTTTTGAAAAGGTGCATCTTTTGGACATGCAGTTCCATTGGAGAAGTATTCGTATAATAAATGTTATGCTTCAGTGTTTTTTAGCTCTATCTGAATAATCTGCAGATAATGGTCATGATAGCAAAAATGCTTTGATAACGTCATTTTCTTGGGATGTTTAATCTTATCGCCAGTGCTTTTTCAGCCCTTTAGTAAATGTGGGTCCTGAATGTCTGTCTTCATTGAGACTGGCAAAACTATCTGCAGATGTTTCTTGTAATAGAACAATGTAACCTGCTATAAAAGTTTTTAAATACTGCTGTCTCTAAAGAATTAAATCACAAAGTAAAGGCAGTTTTAAATATGAACGATTAGAATGCAATTACCTATACAACAATTGCCGACCTTCAAATTACGATGCAGGATTAATTATAAATGAGAGACACATTTTTACAACGGAGATTTCGTATTGTAAATCTGGGGCTATAACTTAATATAATAGTATGTAGCTATCAACCTATTCACTTTTACATGGTGAACATTGTGCTCGATTTGTACTGATTTTTGCACCAAACCTCACGTTTTGTGCGTCAATATTAAGGGGATACAGAAAGTTTAATTTGGGGTTACAACTTAGTGTTGAGAATGAAGGATTCAGATTGCGACCAAAGTTGACATCTGAACTATGCTTATTGTGTGCCAACCACATGTGCGCCAAAATTAACTAAAAAACGAAATTTTTTCCCATTCGAACAGCTACGAAAAATTTCTCATTGTGTTAAGCAGATCAATTTGTTCTGTTATCGAGTGTGTGTCCCAAAGAAAAGTGAAATACAGAAGCCATCGGCAGTTGTTTGTGAGCTAAGTGCGCCCGTTATCGCAAACGATTGTTTTAAGTAACTTTATTTGTGATCGATCGCCTGCGTGCGAGGTATCTTTGTAAAAAAACATATATTTTGTTTGTTTCATACGTTTCGGAATAAATTTTTATCATTGTCGATCAACTAATTGTGTGTTTATTCGAACTCATTGTGCGACCCAGATAGAGTACTCATGTCAGATTTGCCTATTCGTGCCCAAGATTTATTCCTGGTGTTAATCAAAATTTTTACTAATTAATTCTTTGAATTTACGGAAGTCGATTAAGACCACTGAGTCTTCAAAATTATTAATTTCAGTCAATATTAGGATTTTTCTTTGTAGCAGATGCCGGAAATGTGGTATAAATTTTAATTTGTTTGTTTGAGCTAGTTGCACAGGTGTTTTGTGGGTGGTGTAATTGACCGCATGTCATTACACACATCAGCAATATATACAGAATCGATTGTAAACGCAGTAGTTTGAATAAGGAAAGGATGAACATAGACCAAAAAATGTAAAGCTTTTAGGGAAAGGAGCTAAAATTGAAAAACTAAAAATGGCGATTTCTTCCTCTGGTGTATTCATTGGTCTAGCTTTAAGGATCTGGATCAGTAGAACTTGCCGAAATGTGTAAAAATACCTGGTCCCAAAAAAGATTGAGCAACTTCCCTGGAAACAAAACAGCTATAGTGACCTTCTTTACAACCAGTGGGGAATAATCCCATCAATTTTGAATAGAATTTCCAAGAAATTCTAAATCAAATCAGTCATATCTCGAGTAATGTGTACCGGTGGAGATACAAAATGTCATCGGGTGCGTCTTTGATTTATGTTTGAGAGTAGCGGCCGGTACACAATTGTTTCTATTATCTCCAGAAATCCCATTTCAAAAATTTTTCAAAAATTTCAAATACTCTCTCCCGTAAGACTAAATAAATATATACGGTATCTCTCCCCGTTACGGAGAACCACGAATTTGAACCAATCTTCCCACACTCCCTCACCGAAATTCTTTCTAGTTGTGGTCGGACTAAATTAAATAGTCCATATACCCACTTATATTGGTTTGCTATTAACGTATCATAAACGATTTAAAACAGCCCCAGCTACAAAAAAGCACTTCTTTTAGCGATTCGGTTATTTGCCATATCAGGTTTTAGAGAAAATTGTACTCGTTTCGGAGGAAATTTGCGTTTTTAGTTTTAAATCAGTGCATTTGTAGTGTGAGCGTGGAACAAGTGTGACCAGATTGACATTAAAAGAAACTATGGGGTTGTACCTCGGGTTGTAACTACTTTTCTATGATGGTATCAGTGGCGATAGAGGAGAAAACGGAAACGGGTTTTTTAAAACACACGGCCGGTTGCAGGAAAGCGAATTATGTATAATCAAAGTCCTACATTATTTGCCAAATCTGAGTTTAAACAAGAATTTTGCCATTTGATTGGCTGCCTACTGCAATATAAAGCCAATCAAATGTCTTTATACCGGATTTAACAATAATCCTGGATTATTTTTTTTGTGCAACTTGCCGTCAGTTTAATGCTCTAAAAAGTTTCTTATTAGGAATTTTTGGAAGAAAGTGTACCCGATATTGGTAACAATGGAGATAGATCAACCCAATAACGAATTTTTTATTATACCTGAATCACAATCTCCGTTTTAAACACTCAAATGCGTGCGAAAAAGGGCCTTTAAAACACACGTGCTTTAAAGTTGCTAAGTAACTATACTTCAAGTATGACTTTTGAAACCTCTTAAGTCGCTTTCTGTAAATGCAGAACATTTCTTTGGCTTTTGTACCTATCCTTTGGTTGAAGCTTTCACAAACGCGCGTAATTTAGGGTATACTTCCAAATCTGTTCCACTTTTGAATCGCAATATTGCTTTAAAGTTTTGAATGAATGCACCAAAATATAGAAGATTTAAATACCTTTGACATTTCCTTCATATATGCCAGCATTATGGATGCATTTAAGACTGTATTCGTAAGTAACTTCCTATTCATCAATGGAAACAACTTTTCATATTCTTTATAAATAGGCTTTACTGGAGTTGGATTTTACACCTACCAACGTTTGTTTAGATTTTACAACAATCGATTTAATGGACGGTGTATTATCTTTTTCAACGGAAATCGTTTAATTCACAAAGACGATGATTTTTATAAGCAAACGTCAAGTGACATTTCCATGGCAATCGTGAAATTACGAACACCCAGCCCACTTAATTAGACATGTATTCGAGTATAACGTCAATATGACTTCATTGTATTTCCTATTTTTAAATTATACTGCAGGTATAATAAAAAATACTATAAGATACACGTGTATAATTGGTCTTTAAAGCACTTGCAACGTTAAAGGCACTCCGCTTTGCGTCGTGCCCTTAAACTCGTTGCGCGTGCTTTAAAGACTTGATTATACACTTGTATCTTAATATACTATTCCCATATTTCACCACTTAAACATTGTTGAAGTTACGATGAAAATTCATTCTTTTTAAAAACAAAGAATGTATATGGGGGACTGATATACACGTACATTACAAGTCACATGATCTCGTAGTTTAAAATGTATCATTAATAGCCTTTTGTTCAATTTTATACGAGAAGAAATCCGATCTATTATATGCTAATAAAAGTTAAGTACGTGAAAATGATAGAAACAGCATTAGCAATTAGGATTTGTGTTAGCCTAGCGAACTTCCAACTTTTAAATAAAACGAACTTTCGTTTGCAGAACGCGTAAAGGGATAAAAGAAATCGTCGATCGAAACAATGTAATATTGCGGGGAGATCACATTGTGGGGTTGAAATTACGGCAATCCTTCTGAAGATGTAAACGCCTCGAGAATTTTAAATCCGACGCGAAATCTCGAACTATTTAAAATTCTGATACCCACTTTACTAAAGTTAATAAACGCAGAACGCTCTTATCATGAGTTCATCCTATTATGCTAGACATTATTAAATTAAATCTATTAATCTCTTCGTCCGAACGTGTCCGTTTTAAGCATGAAGCATTGCCACAATTCATTTCGCGCACAACAAGCGACGGGCCATTGTAGCAGTGATTTCGTTTTTAGGCGCTTAGAAGATAAATTTCATTGCCTTTATCCCGCGTTGTCCCAAAATAAAACGGCAAGATACTTACGCATATTTCTTTCTCGTCGCACATGGCACCCCAAACTTGAAAATTCGACTGCAACAGTTCGCAGTTCTCCCAACACTGAAACAAAAAAAAAGTGTGTGGTAACAAAAATAAACAATTGTTATGGAACGGATATTTCACGATGATATGAGTATATGATTAAATATACACAGATGAGATGGTGACATGGTACTTTATTTCTAGCATGTGTTTATTTTCGGCAAAAAAGTTTATGATCTATATAGCATCGGCAACGCACCCGGCTTATTTAATTTCCTTCAAACATCATGAATATTACATTGCCTGCTTTAGACGCCCACAGTTTAAAATTTAACTTCATATTTACGAAATTTTAAATTGAACTGAAACATAGGTATAACAGAAATGTGTGTTTTGAAGGGAATTTGTTTGTGTGTGCGAAACGTTCAATAAATTTACATAACTGCCCTAAAATAATATTTTTAGTATAAGTTGGTATCCGCTATGCGTAATTTTGAAAAAGATACACTTCGTTCTAGACTGCAGCAATTTTGGCGCGCGAGTCAAACAAAATCTCCGCATACTTTCTTAAACGATCTTCTGTTGAAAAAAATGGGGATTAAAGGAAGAAACAAAAAAAAAACCCAGTGATTTGCAGAGGAAAATATGTGAAAGTTATTATCTCAACATTTATGAGAGTAATAATAAGGGTTACAAAAAACGTACTGCAGTCGCCAACTTCTGCCTACCTATACCTGATGTAATTCCTAAGACGCCTCTTTTACAGAGATAAAATTTGAGATGTAGACATTACACAATTTTTCGGCAGCAGTGTAACTATATAATTTTGGTTAACTTTTATCTTTTCCTTTTTAATGTACCAACATGTTCTCTTATTTAAATTACGCGGAGAATTTCACGAAATGCGCACAATTTGAGAACGGGAGCTCTCTCACAGACGTATTTGTAATTGAATTTCAAAGTAGGTGCTTTAATATAACGTCCTTTTGAGATACCCATTAATCTTGAAAGTCGCCATTTTTTCTCCCAACAACAGTGAAATGGGCACTTTTCATTTAGTTCGTAACTGACAATGTGTCATAATCCCTACGGATATCAACGAGAGCATATGAAACTGTAAGAATAAAGGTAGGTATTAAACCCCTTATTATTTTGTATCAAAGCCTGTATTTACCTAAACGTCTGCATTCACAAGGTCTTAAAAGATTCACGAAAGGTTCTTCTATACAACAAGCGCATTGTTATCCCTATATTTGCATTTTAGACGATCAAAAGATGCGATAAGATGCCGGACAGTCTCAATTAAAAAAAAAAGTAAAATGAATTAGTTTTGTATAGTCATCGCATTTGAAAATTTCAACAATTTAAAGGCGTGTTTGTCATAAATTAACTTGATTTCATGCATGTAGGTACTACAACTTCAATTCTTAACGAAACCGAGTGTTAGTTTCAAAAAGACCTTCACTTTTACCAAAACTAGTACTTAATCATGTAATTTAATAGATATCTATAAAACTTTTGACATCTACAATAATCTGCTGCATGTCTAATTTCCACTCACGAATGCCTTTATACAATATAGATTGAAAAAGTATATTTATTACCATAACGGAAAATAAATTTGAAACTAATTGGTGATATGCTTACTCTTTAAAAAAAGCTAATAATATAAAACAAGGTGGTTGCGTTTACTTTTTAAATTCGAGCCCGAATTTACATTTATATTATATTAATTAGTATCACAGATATTAAATCCTTTACAGTCATCTTTCCTAACAAGATAAATCTCAGCGAAATACATTCAATACACGTTAATTATAATTGATCGAGAATAACGAGCTTTGCATACCTACTCAGAATAGAACCCACACATCCTTAATTAACAGCAATGTTGCGTTTTTTTTATGGCTGTGGAGCAACTTTATTATTGGAAACCTTTTTTAACCATATTTCAAAATGGACATTAGAATAAATTTTACATTAATATTACTTTAACCATTCATATTTAAACAATCTTCGATAATTAAAACGTAGGTACTTGGGAATTTGTTTAAGAAATTATTGTTGCGGTGGTCGCCTGTGGGCGCTCTGATGAATCTTTTAGTTTGAGAGCCGATGTGATGATGTAATAAAAGTTATTTTTGACGTAAATTAGATCAAAAAATGTGGTAGTTAAAACGTCGTGAAATGTTTATCGGTTTTTAATAGATCTTCCTTATAAGATTTCAGATATCTGGAATTCTTTGATAATTTTGTGTAATAAATCTCGTAAGTATCAACGAATAGGGATGTATTTCTATTTTTGATATTTTATTTCCTTATCGATCACGTAATTAGGCTTCAGAATGAGGTTTGGCGTTGCGAAAATTAGAAAGCCGCTCGAAACACACAAAAACGCACAACAACGTTTCAACAGGATGGTTCACCCGCGCCACATTGTACCTATCGAACATATTTTTTTATTCTCCAAGAAATCTGTCCAATAGGCATTCTCGCATAATTAGGGCGTTGTGCGCAGGGGCGCCATCCTGTTGAAACCACCAGTTTTCAACTTTTGTTTTTTTGTATGTGCCGTACATCGTTGTATTCGTAAAAATGCTACTCAATGCAGTTTGTACATTTTTACAGGCCTTATAAAAAATAAAGTTGATGATGATTTTTCCGAAATGTGCAATGAGAAATTTTTTTTTTGCATCTTTTGAAACATCGGACAAAAATAAAAACATAATCGGCACATTTCGGTTTTTTGGCATATCTTCGGAAGTAATCGGAATTTTCTGGTTTTCTTTATGATAATGGCTCTTTAATTGCGCATCTTTTCTCTAATTCGACCATCGTCGTATATTCTATGGTTTCGGAGATCCCATGACAGACATCCTTATCCTGGACACAGTGTAGAACTAGGTACCCCAAAGTCGCACTCGTAGCAAGGTATTCGTCATTACCGAGAAAATGTAAAACCCGACTCGAAACAGCGCAGCTCTCGTAGCTAATCGATGGCTTTTCGAAGAGATGATTTTGCATCTTCAGTACACAACCACTTGAAGAAGCCATTTCCCGTTAACGAAGAGACGAGAAGAAAGATTATTGGCCAAAAATAATTCCCTAAAATGGGATACTTTGCATTACGACTACGCGAGAGCGAGAACGAGAGCAACTTATTCTCGGACTCGTTCTCGTGTCTTTGTCGTCCTTTCTCGGCCGCGTTTTCGCAACCGAGGTCGAGAGTCGCCATTTTCTCGCTCTCGTTTAACGTTTCGTGAGTGGCGTGGGCATGCCATTCTATTGAAGTGATTTCTTATCATATCACTAAGTCTGACTGTATACTTTGCACGTTTCATCCGCCATCATGTACCGCTTCAAGCAATAGCCGACCACTCGCCTGGGTCACAATGAAAATGGCTCGAATTTTTCCTAACTCAAACTAATAGCTGAGGCGCACGTAGATTCGCCCCTCTCTATGTCTACGACTACCAACGAGAAGTCCATATAATACATCGCGACAAACGGAAGGGAGTGAAGGAGTGTGAGAAAATGAGAAAAAGAAGTAGTCATTTTTGTCGGTACTCACCAAGTGCCACTGTACATTTTAGTCTGCACGTGCTTGTAACGGGATATCAGAAATGAGTTGCTGTCGAGTCGCCTTTGGAAGTTCAGCTTAAGTTCGATTTTCCATGTAAACAAAAATTCCAAAGGTGACTCGATAGCAATTCGTTTTTAATCCCGTGGTACTTCCAACGTGCGCTATGGCCAGGTTTTCAACTTATTATTGTCAAACAGAATATCCAATTAAAGGATTATGCTCCAGCATCAATGTTCCTTACTTTTGATTCACCCTGTATACTACGCTACGTATGATTTTCGTACAAAAACTCTTTGTCTGGCAAACGTTTAGACCGATTCGATTCCAGTTTTGCACAGTTCACCTATATGCCACACGTACAATTCAAAAACAAAAAAGGCGCTGTGTGCTATCGCTATACTTCAGCGCATTTTTGATGTGGCAGATCAGTAGCACTGACATCATTGAGTAATTTTGTTTTGAATGTGCCATGGTCTTTATCACCGAAAAATTTGGTTTGACGGCGATAACATTTTAACATTCAACAACGAATTATGTATCTGTTCAGAGTACTAAATTTACTTAAAACTGACCATGTGGGCCACAACCTGTTAGCAGAGTAAATAAAAATGACATTCATGCACACTATGATATTCTATTTCCTTATTTTAACACATTCAAAGGAAATAAATTATCAACTTCAGGATTGGCATTCAGCTTTCGATGCAGGAGTAACACGATAGGACGAATACAATGCCGAAAACCCGAATTTCAATCGATTTATAAATGGCGCCCGAACAGACGGCAGTTAGTGAAACAATAAATGCGTTAAAACTATAATCAAGAGTTCATAATCAATGTGTATTTTTGAATTTCTTCTCTATGAGCTATGGATTTCAAACAGTCACACAAGTACAAGAATTTAAGAAAGTATGCAAGGCGTGACTAACAAAATGTGTTTTGTATTCGACCACACCATCCATTTGACTTCCATACCCTGAATAAAACAGAATCCTATAAAGTTATTGATATGGTTTCGGCGAGGGTTTCGGTTTGTAGTGCAATGATTGTAGACTTCAGTAGATCTCAAATATTTGAAAAAGAAAAATATGCAAGTAAAACCACCCGTCTAACGTAAAATAACTCACGCCATCACATGCTCATAAAATAGGATGAATATGACCTAAGGAACACAGTCTTGAATATAAATTAATACTCTCCGTGAATTGAAAAACGGAAGTAAAGAAGACAAACGCTTCACAAACTACTACAATGTGCATGCTGAGAACTATACTCATAAAACAGTCTAATAGAATTGAAAAAAAACTAGCACTGAAAAGATTTATCGACGTTCTTTATTTAACCTTCGAGGTTGCTTTAAAATCAATGGCAAAGGCTTTAAACAATATTTAAGAACATAATAATTACGCTCGGTGATGTACTATTGACGTTTACAATTAATACTTTTATAAGAGCAGTACAAATTAGCCTTTCACACAAATTGGTACTAAAAAAG